GAGCTAAGCATCTGACACTATTAGCCACTTGACTGTCCTTTCCTGGTTCCCGTCTCCTTCATGTCATTTGTTACCTCTTCCTTTACAATAGTTAACTATCAATTTCATTTCCCACTTTGGCGAGATTCCTAGACCCTTACAAACAATGCATATTCACATCTACTAAATAACTAACAATATATACACCCCTGCTAAATAACTAAGAGTCTAAATTGGCTTGACTGACTGAACTCTACGGGAACCCTCAAGCTGTAAACTATGTAACTTCACCACCACAACCACTGAGAAGGTTGGGAAGAGAAAAAGGAGAAGGTCCTTTTCTGCAGAAAAAGCTTCAGACCATTGAAACTGTAGGAGGTTACTGGAGGCACATCCACGTACCACTATACCAGGAAGCAGCTGCCTGTCCTACTCCTAGTGACAGATGAGAAGGCCCGAGTCCCAGAAGCCTCCTGAGACACTAAATAAAACTAAAACTGTACTCTATCACCACATAAACAAACACACACTGCATTATTTCATTCTCCTACTTCAATAATTATGCATATTAAGATTCATTTCAGCTTTTAATCAAATTGGGACGCTAATTTTTTAATTAGACTTTAACCAATTTCTTTATCACTGCTATTTCAAGTTACATCTTCCCAAGCAGAAAGGCACTAAGGAAAGAAAAAAGGTTACAGAAGAGAGAGCGTAGCACTCCATTTGAGAGCAAGGAGGACGAGGGGCAAGAAGAAGGGAAAAAAGAAGAAACCCACAAAAATCCACTTCAGGATACTGAACAGGAAAGCACTTCCCTCAGGCATATCAGCTGCTCACAGATGCAATTCACCTCCTCTGCCGAACTCCTATCCTGAGAGAAAATCTAAGAAGCTGAGATGTAAAACATATTTTCCACATAGCAAAGCATATTTTAAAGGCAGTCTCTTATAGTTGGGAGCATCAGAAAAGAAGTTGCTGACAGATTCCTGTATTTGCTCTCTCTCTGCCTCTGTCCAAAGGAGCTCAACAGAAAAGGAGATTATTCACCATGGCTCTCGGTGACAATGACATTTGTGTTTTGGGGTCTTCAGGTCAGACAGAACTTACAGGTTAGAGTTGTGGTCCTCGGCTGATAGGCCAGCGAGAGAGAAACACCCAGACACAAAGGCACCCATGGGGACATGTGTGACTTTATGTCTCTAATTATCCTTTCTAATTCTGGAGCCATGTGACTGGACTTCACAGAGCACTGCGGGAACCCTGGGGGCCTGAGGCTCCCCAGCTGGACCACTAAGGGAGGGGATGCTACTCTTTTGCATTAAAAATATTGCATTATGTAGCAGGGCGAGGTGAGCTATTTCCTGCTGTCAGGCAGCTCCCTAGTCAGCAGACAGTCAGAGCATCCTTGGTGAATTTAACTATTCCTGTGCAAACTGAATCCAGGGTCTCAGCAGACTTATTTATATATAACACTTTTAAATACATATAGTCTCAAACAATGAATCTTCCCAGCTAAACATTGGAATATGACAGATCTAAGGAATTCTCTTTTTTTTTTTTTTTTGACATGTGGTAGAGTAGCAGGGAAATGCCATCTCCTCCTGCTACCAAAACTGAAAGAGGAAAGGAAACTTTTTACAGTGACCACCGCCAAACAAAACAATTTCCCTAACACACACACACACACACACACACACACCGCCAAACAAAACAATTTCCCTAACACACACACACACACACACACACACACACACACACACCACCAAACAAAACAATTTTCCTAACACACACACACACACCGCCAAACAAAACAATTTCCCTAACACACACACACACACACCGCCAAACAAAACAATTTCCCTAACACACACACCGCCAAACAAAACAATTTCCCTAACACACACACACACCTTTTAGAGATGCAGCGTAGGATCTTTCTATGCTCAAATCACTGTCAAATATTGCCACCGAAATGAGCTTTAATGAGAAAGTAAAGACACATATTGAAACCAGAGAGAATTTAAAAATATATCTAGGCAATACCGAAACAAATACATTTTATTGGGTTCAAAATACTTGATACTGTTCTAGAATCTACCATGAAATCATTATCAAGGATGCCCATGATTTAAGGATCAGTTTGGCAGAACTCAGTGAAGCACGGACTCTGGAGCCCATCACTTTGGACAGTGTTCAGTATGCCACCTGACATGGGTGATCTTGATCAAGTTACTTAACAGCTCTGTGCCTCAGTTTCTTTGTCTGATAAAAGACATTATTAGCTCCTTTCCTTCTCCCACTTTATGAGAATTAAGCATCATATCTTTATTAAATAAATAACAGCTTGGTCTACGTGTGATATAAAAGCATATTATGAGAGTGGCTACAATACACTTGAAATATTTTCTACTAGCTGACCACTAATACTTTATGCAAAAAGAAAAAGTCAAGAAGACTGGGCCTGTTTCCTCAACTAGTCTATCAGATATCAAAGAAACAAGTTCAGTAGGAAACTCAACTGTTATGTCCCTTCTTTTGTGACTTTTTGGAGTTCACTTTAGCCAGTGTGGCCAGACCTCCACAGCTCATGAGCAAGAAAGAGAAAGGGAAGCTAACGCAGATGGAATGCCAGGTCTGTGTTTTATGTTTTCTCTATCTTCTTCTGTAAATATCAAATTTATTAGTCAAGTTGGAGAAGGTTCTTTTCCTTGAATTCTACCCTTTGACCCTCATGCTTGGTTCAAAGAAGTCACTTAGGTTAACTGGAATTCTGTAGTAGGCTCAATACCTATCTGCTTCCATACTCTGTAGGGGTTGTTCTGATGAAGAAGCAATTTTGACAGGCTGCTCATTTGGCCGCTTCAAAATTTCACAGAAATGCATTTATTAAGGACTTGGTTACTATCTCCTCAAATTATGACCATTTGTAATAAACACACACACACACACACACACACACACACCACCACCACATCGTACAAACAACACTAACAACAAAAACAGTTTAACAACCAGTTTAGTATAAGTTCTTGAAAATGGACCAATTCAGACATCTGTCTGTACAGAAAGACTAGAGAACATAAAGGAAATAATCGTTCTATGAAAGTAGTAATCATAGAAAAGGCCTGAAAGTACAGGACAGAGAAAACACTCATCTTGAAACCAGGCCCAGATTCAGGCACTACCAAGTCACATGGCTTTGGGTAATTCCCCAGCCAAACCAGGACGCCAATTTGTTGTTGTTATTGTTGTTGTAACTAATGTTCAATATGGTCCTTTCAAGTTGTAAAACTTTATCATCACCTTGAGCCCACTCAAAGAACACTGAACAAAGTGTTCTCAGATACTTCTTTTTTTGCACTAGGATTTGGTCTTTTTGCCCTAGGCAGGTGACCCAGCTGAAATTTTACCTCTGCCCAACAGATGGCATTATTTAATCTGACATAGGAATACACGAGGAACTAGTCCAGTATTCCCAGCACTCAATTCTGCCCATACTAAGGATTGGGGCCTGGGCTTGACAATTTTGTCTATTTCACACAAGCCAGAGTTCCCTGGAAGGAGGGAAGCTCAGGTGAGGAATGGCATCCCTAAGATCTGGCAGTAGGGTGTTTTCTTAATTAGTGATTGGTGGGGGAGGGCCTAGCCCATTGTAGGTGGTGCCACCATCCCTATTGGTGGTCCTGGAAACAAGCCAGTAAGTACCCCCCCCCCAGCCTCTACATGAGTTCCTGCCTCCAGGTTCCTGCCCTGCCTTTGCCTTTGATGATGAACTGTTACATGGAACTGTGAATAAACCCTTTCCTCCCCAATTGCTTTCAGTCATTGTGTTTTCAGCACGGCCACAGTCACCCTAATTAAGATAGCACCTATACTGCCAAGTGATTATTATCTCTTCCATGAGTGGGCACAGAGGCTACAAAGGAAGTAGCCTTTCATTCTCATCTTCTGGGCTGCCCACTGGCTCTACCCTGCTACCTTCACTGCCACCTTTCCTTTGGCTTCTGTGGCAGAGGTCACAGCCCGAACCAGCTTAGCTCTTCACCTGATTGTATCTGCAATATAAACAACTCCATATGCCCCAGGAAGTTGGGCTGGAGGTACAGTGAACTATTTTGCACACGTGTTCTACAGCGTGGTACTTCTGAGATTCTGTGTCTCATCTGTCATCCTTGTCTCCCCATGACTCTAGTCACCACCACCTATTCCACAGGAGAACACAACTACAGTAGTGAACGGTGCTGCTTCTGAATTTGTCCCTCCAAAGAACCATGAAACCATGCTTCCAACACGAGGCAGACTGTTGGAAAAGACAGCTTTCCTGGAAACCTGCAATGTGAACAGACTTTTAAAGAGACCAGCATTGACATATTGACATTTCTCATATACCTTTAAAATGCTTGTTCTCATTTAACCTTCTGAACACCACCATCTCCAGATATATATATATATATATATACCATATTTCAAAACGAAATTCATAAAACTTAGAAGGTATAGCTTTCCCTTCCTCTGACAGAGATGTTAAATGCCAGACAGAGGAACTGATGAGGCAGGCAAAAACAGGAGAAATGATAGATATCTGTAAGTAGACATAAATAATGGACCCTCCCAAAGTTGTCATTTTATATCAAGATGGACGTCAGCGTTCCCAGAGAGAGCAAATCCTTGCCAGTGTGAAACAAAGGCTTCCTCCGTAGCACCAGCACTGCCTGCAGTGAGCAGCACCAGCCCGAACACCAACAGTGCCCATTCACATGCAGAAAGCCAGGAAAGGCCCCAGCTTGCCAATCCGACAAACCCTAGGGTGTAATTGTCATTCTCTTCAATGCCAAACTTCCCTTTACTCACAACATTTGCTTACATCGACAGAAACTAACCAAATTCATTTAAAGTACATACTAAATTCATTTAAAATTTCTCAAAGAGAGATTACTTCTAAAAACAAAAACAAACAAACCAAAAAACCAAAAACCAAAAAAAGAAAAGCATGAAGTCAAGGAGACCGGCACCATTACCTTCCCCAGAAGGCAATCTCTTGAGGGCCTTTCGTGTAGACAGAGTTAGCAGAGTCATGCAGTCCCAGTCCATTGGTGATCCCCGGAGAATAGCCCATCACTATCCCGCCATCTGCTGACACACTCAGGACATCCTGACGTCCTCCCACAGAGGTCCTCTCCAAGAACTGGCCGCCTTCTTTAATGCGCTGCTGGATCATAGGAGTCAGCGGCATTTCAAAGCTAAAATAGCTGTCAGGCTCTGAGTACAGCGTCTCCAGCGACTCTGCACTGTAGTATAAGGAGGTGCTGTCCAGGATGGTTTCAAACTGGCTGCTGTACACATCAGTGGAGTCCTCCATATACCCGGGCCCGAGAATATCATCCTCTCCTCCTCCCCTAAGGTGCTCCTCTTGTTCGAGAAACCTGGAAAATTAGTAAAAGTGAAAATTTTCAGTATTAAGTTAGTTTTTTTTTTCCTCTTCAATTTCTTGCCTTCAACCAACCATATTAAAAAGACAGTGTTGTATAAATGTAACTGTTATATCCATTAAACTTACGGCTTAATAACATATTTGGGGAAAAGGATATGAAACCTACTCAGGTTAAAGTACTTTCTCTTGATTATTTTATATGTATGATGTATGCATGCGCCACATGCATTTCTGGAGCCCACAAAAGTTAGAAAGGGGCATCAGATCCCCTGAACCTGGAGTTATGGATGGCTGTGGACCTCTACGTGAGTACTGGGAATTGAACCCAGGTCCTCTGTAAGAACAAGTGCTCTTAACTACTAAGCTAAATCTCCAACCCAAGGTTAAAATATTAACACACATATCACTAATCTGTAAATAATTTAATAAAGTTGCAGACTAGTTTCCTACATCTTTAATAGTGCATCCTTGGAAAAAAAATAGTAATTTTCTTTTCAACCAGCCATGTCCAGATCATGTAACTATCATCATTAATTATAAGAAAAGCATATAAGTATCATGTAAACTTGATACAGTAAACAATCCGTAAAAATGCACTGCACTCTCCCTGGCCACTTCCTGGTTTGAGTGAGACCGGCAGCTCTGGGGAAGGAAGCTGTCTGAATCCAGCTGCTGCCCTCTGCTGACATAAAGCAGAACTGCAGAGACTTTAGGCTCGCAGCAAGGAGTAATCAGTCCATTTCTAAAGCGCTGACAATAGTTGTGCTCTTCCCTGGAGAGGACTATGTCTCTGGACCTTAGTATTCCTGAGTTGCCTTTAGTGCTTTGGGGAGGGTTAAGGTCTCCTGGTCTTCTCCACCCCTGCTCCTGTCCACATTAACATGTCTATTGTTGCCCTTGTTCAGCTCATGCTTAATGCAGTCAGGTTCATGAGATGTTCTGGGTGTACCTTGACATTCCTACCGATGAGTCATCCAGTACCATATGAGGTCAACAATGATACATACAAGTAACATTATATAGACTGACCAGTCGTATTTATGTATTTAGAAATATCCATGTATATCCCATATATGCAACATATATGCATCTAAGAACAATTAATTTATTTAAAAAGAGACTGGATTTCAAAGAGAGCAAGGAAGGGTACATAGGAGGGTTTGGAGAGGGGAAAGGGAAGAGGAAGTTATCTTCTTAAAAAAGGAATTTTTTAAAAAAAGCTGATAAACATGGCATTTGTAAAGACAACCACAATCATAAAAAGCTAGATACAACTTGGACATGAATATGAAGGAGTGTGGAGTCAATGTTGGCATACAGATGTGAAGAATTAATATCCAGGATGGTCTTCAAATATTAAGATGAACATTCAGACAACTTAGACAAGTCAGTGGTCAGAGCAGCAAGTCAACAGTTAGAAAACACAGGACTTATTTATAGCAGCGTTGCCTACTTGCTATGCAAGTTTAGGTGACTTTACTTGACCTCTCTGCACCTCTGGTTCCTATAAACAGGAAATAAAGCAGAAATAAGAAGTATCTATTAAATGTCTCATAAATGATTCTTAGGTGTTACCAGAATCCACACTCAATGGTATGACGGTCTTTGTTGGCATTAACTTATTGTAATTCCACTGTGTACCAAATAATTTTCCGGGCTTATACCTCTTAAACTTTTTCATTGGTCTTTAAACAAAACAAAGATCCTGTACAGACCTCATTGCCCATTTTCTGTCTGGCTAACTGCCTCAGTTCTCAAGTCTCACTTAATTAGCGTGTTTACAGAAAGATCTTATCCAAGCTGCCACCTGAACCAGTCTCTTTCTTTCCACTCCAGTCTATCTCTCCAGTAGATCTCCGTTCTTTTCCCTTCACAGTACCTAGAAAGTGCTTATGTGGTCAATTTGTATATTTAGCACGAAAGTCCACAGACCAGGGATCTCATATACTTTCCCCAGTCTTATGTGCAGCACCAAACAGGGTCAGGGACACAACAAGCAACTTGAATACATTTCTAGTCAAAAAAGAAAGGGAAGGAAAGGGTGTGGGAGCAATGGATGGCTAGTCCAAACAGCACTGAAAGTGCACATTTCACAGGGATGTAAAGACAACAGCCATTTAGCAAGGCTACCTTTCATAGAAGTCTAGGGGTTTTGTGATCCTAAATGGTCACCCAAAAGGAACATTATCTTAAATGGAAAAGACATATACATACACACATAAAACACACACACACACACACACACACACACACACACTCCTTTAGCATATTTTTAGCATATAAACCAGTGATTCTCAACCTTCCTAAAGCTGCAGCCCTTTGGTACAGTTCCTCATGCTGTGGTGACCTCCAACCATAAAACTATTTTTGTAACTACATCATAACTGCAATTTTGCTACTGTTATGAATCATAATGTAAATGCCTGGCTTTTCCAATGGTCTTGGGTGGCCCCTGTGACAGGTTGAGAACCACTGAGATAAACGATAACATGTGTTATGAAGACCGACAGAAGAAAAGAAGGCTCGCATCAAAGTACATTAGCACAGGACACAACAAACGACTTGTCATAACAATGGTCAGGCATGATCAAAGGCACTGAAGAATGATACCGTGCCTTCATATAACCAAGCTCTGAGGTGGCGCAGATGACAGAAACAGAGAAGGTCAGAAAATACCAGGACATGTAAAGTTTACTTAGCTAGGCCACACATCAGAACGCATGCCATTTGTGAAAAGAAGGAATTGGTCTGTGCTATCATGGAACAAGTGAACTGGAGTCTAGTCTACCTCTGACCTGAGATGGCCCCTCAAGCCCACGCCTCTCTGTGCACACAGGAAAGCAGCCTGCACTGTAGGCTGCATGCATGCTGCGCTGCACACTCTATGCAGTACACTTCCTCTTCCTCAGAGGAAGGTACAGATGGGCTGCCATCACCACACAGGACATGTCAGTAGTCTTTCGTGTTAAAAGCACATCGGCGAGGGTTATTGTTCCTGGTCTCTTCAGCATTGTTCCCCTGGTCCTTGTCTAACAGACAGCTTTATTACATGCTGACTTCTCTGTCTTAGAAACGCCTAGATCAAATCCTTTCTCTTCCATTCTGTGACAACAAGGGCAAGAAGTATGGCAGCCCTTCCATTTATGCATAGGGATGCATTGACACTGATATGAAACCAGACTATAACAATTCCTAAATATGCCATTCTGATACACGCATACCTATGATAAAGTTACTGCGTATTAGCCTGTAGGGATAGGTCCCGCCCCTTGGGGGGTGTGTTCGCCTTGGGCTAATGTCTGCCTATAAATTTGGCGAGCGTGCTCCCAGCCATCACTTCTGCTTTCCTGGTCTCCGCTGGAACGGTGGTTCTGTAAGTCTATTTCTACATTAAAGCTATAGATACATATTTTTTTACAATCTGTCTGCATTTGTTTACGCCATTATATTTTGGCGCCCAACGTGGGGCTCGAACCCACAACCCTGAGATTAAGAGTCTCATGCTCTACCACTGAGCTAGCCGGGCAGGCGGCCAGGGTGCTGGGAACACAGCCCCGCCGCCCGTATTAGTACATTAGCCATAGTAAGAGATTTAATAATCATAACAAATGGAACAACCGCAACAATACGCTGTAATAAAAGCTATGTAAAACATGAATTATCAATTTCTAGAAATCTCCATTTAATAATTTTGAATGTCACAGTTGACTCCAGGTAGCACAGTGGCTGCAGGCACGGACAGTAATTTTCTAAGGCCTGGTCCAGGCATCACAAAGCATAGCAACTCTACCGCTCACCTTTCTTTATCTCCCTGAATGTCAAGGTTCTTCTCAAGGTGTTCTTTGCTTTCCCTCAGGAAGACTTCATCCTCTCCACTCTCACCAAGAGGCACAGGGGACAATGTCCCTATGCTCGTGCCAGGCCTTGCTGAAGGAACTTTCCAGGTTTCATCCCAGACATTCCCAACTAAATTAACAGAATTGCTGCACAAACCAGCAGCTGAGCTGTAATGGCTTGGCCCTTGGGCAAGGTCCTTGCTCATAGGAGAAGCTGTCCTTTCTGGTATTGTCTCAGTGCCTACAGGATGCTGGGTCTCCGCCTTCTCTCCTGTCCACAAAATCTCTACTCCTTGAAACTCTACATGTTTGATCCGGCCTTGACGTCCCATGAAGTTACCGGAATCACATCCTCTAGGGTGCTCCCTTATGAGATCAGATCTCTGATCTTTCAGAACATCAACTCTGTCCACAGGGTTATGGCTCCCTCTTGAGCTCCGCAGGGAGGACACAGGACATACTGGCTCCTGTATACAGAGAGGCCCTTGTCTCCTGTAATTAGTTATCTGCGACAGTTCTGCCTGAGCTTCTTCTGGTAAGAGTGCAGTGAGATCCTCCTGGATGTTCAACGAAACATCTGTTGGTACTTCCACTGGAAGAGGTAAATCCGGTGATTTTCCTGGGCCAGCAGGGAATGTTCTATGGACTCTCTGTGGCTTACGACTGGTAGCACTCAGCTCTTTATCCACCTGCTGAACTGAAAAATCAGCATCTTTGTCCAGTACCTTTGTAGCCTGAAATGTTCCTGAAGCTATTCTGGCTTCTGTAGCTTTCAGAGCAGAAATTAAAGAGTCAATAGGTTGTAAACTTTGTTCCTGAGGGTGACACTGAGAGGCATCATTTGGTCCTTCGGTAACACTGTTGAGCACAGAGTCTTGTCCAGCAAGAAGGTGGACTGCCTGCTGCTCTGGCGAGCAGCATGGCAGAGACTTTGCATCAAGGTCTAGAGAGGCTTTAAGGCCTTCTCCTCCTTCTTCCATGGTCCCATATTCTGGAAATTCGTTTGTGACAGCTGGTGGCAGTAAAGTGCTTCCTCCATGATCACCTAAGAATGGAACAGAATGGAAACATGACATCAGAGTCTACTGCATATTAATAAATACCATGCATGCTAGGTTCTTAATAATTGTTTACTATTTCCTTCTGTTCATCCCTGTAACACACACTTAGTATAACCTGCAGTGGTCCCTTCTATTCAGCCTACATAAACATCACAGAAGTTTCTACGTAGGAGGAGGCAGTCTAATGACTTACACCATATTAATCCTACTTCTCAGGAAATCCCAGAGATGAGACTGTAGTAACTCAGTTCCTTCATACGTACAAATATTAAAATTATGGCAAGTATCATTATCCAAATACCACTGGTGAAATAATAAATATTGATGTGGGGCAGCCTTACAAATAAGCCATGACATCTGAGAGTAGACCTCAGAAAAGGCAGTATTTACTTCAACTCCATGAAGATTTTCCAGCTAGAAGTCTGTTCCTTCCTGTCACTGTCTAGGGACAGAGACATTTGTAAACTTCCCTGAAGAGTGACAGCGAAGAGGAAACACACGCTGATAAGGGTTTTTAGGGTTTCGACTGTGTAATTATTTTGCTTTTTTTTTTTTTTGATTTTTCAAGAGAGGGTTTCTCTGTGTAATAGCCTTTCTTGACTGTCTTAGAACTCACTCTGTAGACCAGGCTGACCTTGAACCTTGAACTCACAGACATCCACCTGCCTCTGCCTCCCAAATGCTGGGATTAAAGGCATGCACCACCATCACTTTATTTATTTACTTAATTGATAAATAAAAGTTATATAAATTTTTCAATATAATTTGACATCTATATCATTGTGGAATAACTAAATTAACCTTACATACTGGATATAGATATAGATATAGATATATATATATAATGCTAAAAATACTTAAAATCTACTCTTTCAGTAATTTCAAGTACTCATTAACTGTAGTCACTATATTGTAAAAGAAATTTCTTGGATTTATTTCAAACTGAACTTGTGTATTCACTGAGGGATATCTTCATAATCCCCCCAACATTGTCCCCAGGCTGACGGCCACCATTTTACCTTTTGTTCCATGAGTGCAACATTTTGAGAGTCCACATATAAGGCTACCAACTGCATAAAATTTAATTGTATCATATGATAAATTCCAGTATATAAAGCAAGGGAAAATGTGTAACTAGAATATTTATTACAATCAATAAAATTTATATTTCCCTATTAAAATGAGACCCAATATCAGTCAGTAAGACCTGAGGATAGGAAAATTCCGATACATGAAACCTTTAAATCAAAGTTTTTACAGGTAATAACTTAGGTCAGAATCCAACCTCCCTCTGAACTTGGCTTTTGTTACAGCATCAGGAAAATCCTCATCTATGGTATACTAACTTCTGTTTTATGAAAGAGAACTTTTGCTATTTACCAGCCGCTGCAGAGCTACAAGCTTCCTCTTTAGAAAACAGTTAACGAATATCTGACTATACACACATGAGTAGCACGAAAGACCTGGCCGGGGCATTAACAAAATGGAGTAACTTGAGAGCATGTGTTACTACAACATATAGTATTCCCTGCAGACTAAAATTTGGCAAACAGTATTCATGAGCATATATGTAGTTTTGTATTCCACCTTGATCAATATGAAATATATTTCCAACATTAAGTTTAAATTAAATAGTATATAATCTCAGGCACATCCTTGAAGTACTTACAGATTCTCATGATAAAACTAGTAAGACATACATACTTTCCTAACCCTGAAAGGAAGCAACTTTCCAAACCTTGGTTTTGGAAAGGAAGACAGCTAAACAATTGGATTGACATTTTAATTGTTTTCAATAGAGAATACAGATGTGGCCTCTAAGTGTTTATATTTATATGCAAAGTAAAATGCTACTCTCTGACCTAATTACGAGAACCCTGTCTGCAAAGAACAGGGGTACATGCAGAGGTAGATGGCTGCCCAGGTGGTGAGAAGTGACACTTGACTGCTTAGCCCTAGAGGGGACATTTATACTACCCCCTCTAAGGTTCAGGAATCTTTGCAGAAGAGAGGCAACAATAGGCTTAGGTGCCAAAAGACAGGGAAAGGGATAAAAACTGCTGCCATCTGGGCACATCATAATATCACAGTAGCTGTGCCCCTCTGCAATAGTTTACACAAGACTGGGCCTCTCAACAGTCAATCATGGATAAGGGAACAGGACTTCTTGGCCTAACCCTGCCTGATCAGTTATTGGCTACTGATGGATTCTGGGATGGGGCAGTCACTGTCTTCGGTTGTAGACCCAATGAGAAGCCCACCAGGCTCAACAGATAGTTCCAAACCCAAGGCCACACAAATGATCCCGGTTAAACTCAAAGCAACAGCAAAACAAAAACAACATGAATATGGAAAAGGAACCTTAAGAAAGGAGTAATAGGGTGGGAGACTGATGAGAAGGTGGGGCTATAACAATCAGAATGCACCTTACACATGTATGAAATTGTCAGAGAAAAAAAAATTCAATAAACATTATAAATTTTAGCTGTGCATGCTAGGACAGCAAAAGTAGAAGAATCACAGTGAGTTCAAGGCCAGGCTGGTCTTCATGGCAAGTTCCAGGCCAGTCGGGAAAAGATAGTAGAACCTGTCTTTAAAAAACAAACAACCGGGCTGGAGAGATGGCTCAGAGGATAAGAGCACTGGCTGCTCTTCCAGAGGTCCTGAGTTCAATTCCCAGCAACCACATGGTGGCTCACAACCATCTGTACTGAGATCTGGCACCCTCCTCTGGCGTGCGGGCAGAATGTTGTATACATAATAAATAAATAAATCAAAAAAAAAAAAACAAACAACCCCCAAAATGCTATATTTTTAAAAATAATATAGTCGGACTTTTGAATTTTCCCTTTTGATATTATGTAGTTTTAAATATAGTCATAAAATTATGCAATAATTGCCACTTTATCATCCTCTATAAAATAAATCCCCATATCCATTAACAATTACTTTTCACTGTGATTTCTCCTCTGTCCCTACTAAGTGCCAGCCTTTATCTCTATGGACATAAGTATTCTGAGCACTGCATATAAGCACATTCATACAATATTGGTGTTTTCTTCTCACTTATGCCACAACAACACTGTGTTCAGGAAGATTCAAGATGCAATATGAGTCAGAATTTTATTACACTGTTTCATCAAATTTCATTTAATTACATAGAATAAGACATTTTCTTTATTCACTCATTAACTAACAAATATTTGGGGGTTGTTTCCCTTTTGGCTATTATATATAACAAATTTATACATAAGTTTCTGTATCAACATATATATTTTAAGTTCTCATGGTTAAGAGTGGAATTTATGGTCAGCTGCTGAATGTATTTCTCACATTTTAAGAAGGTGTGCACGGGCTTTCCAGGACAACTGGACATGTTGTTCTGCTGCCAGTGTGTCCAGGTTCTCCTGGTTCTGTGTTTGAGCATAGAGAGTTCCCTAAAGGTGTAAAGTGACCTTTACCGTGCTTCTGATAGCTCTGCTGACTACTGATATAGAACATCTTGTCATGTGTTTGTCATCTGGACGACTTCTTTAAAGACCTGTCTGTCCAGATCTTTTATCCATTTTACAATTGCTATGCCTTTTTATTATTTAATTATAAAAATTCTTCTAAACATCTTACGAGTTGTCTTTTTACTTGATTGGTAGCATCTTTTGAGTTACAAAAGTTTATAATTTTAATGAAGGTCTAACTTACCTGTTTTTCTCTGGTTACTTATCTTTTCGTCATATGTAACAAATCACTATTTTATCCAAGGTTAAAAAGATAAAATCCCAATTTATTTTAATAGCTTTTCTAAGGCTAGCTATTTTGGGTTAATCTTTGTGTAAAGATGGATTCAAGTTCATTCTGTCGCATGTGGACATCTAGCTGTCCTGGTGCTATGTGCTCGCAAAGATGACCCTCCCTGTTCATTTCATTGCCTTGATGTCTTCATGACACACAGCCGACCAACACTGTAAAGCTGTATTGCAACTCTGCACCCTATCTCACTGAGCTGGATCTTCATGCCAGCACACCACTGTCTTGACCACTGCTGCTCTGCAATAGATAAAGTGTGGAACTGGGGGAGTCCCCCAACTCTGTTCTCCCTTTTCTAGACTGCTCTGGCCACTCTGGGTCCCTTATATTTCCTATATAAATTTTAGGATTAACCTACCAGACAGTTGGGATTTTTAACAAGAATAGCAATTAATTAATAGTGCACTGTATTCTTAGCCATATTACTATTACATGAGCTGTCCTCCCTTTATTTCATCAGCAATAGTTTTATGAATAAGTTTTAATTATCTTATTAGTTTTATTTTATTCCTACTGACAATACCGAGTGGATTTCTAAAAACTACATTTCTGAACTGTGCATTCCTACTGAAGTACATTGGGGTGCTATTACTACTCTCACAGTCAACTACCTTGCTAACCTTGTGGCTCAGATCTCATAGTATTTTATACATTTATTGAGGTTTTCTACATGAATTACCTTGTTGTCTGTGAGTAGAGAGATTTGCATCTTTCCAGTCCCAACCTATCTTTTCTTTATAGTCTCTCAGCTCCCCTTCCAATGGTAGCTCGTTGCTTCTAAACTGAAGTACAGTGTCAGACACCATACCTTGAAAAGGTTTTAATTCTTGTATATACTGGAAGTAAAGTGAACCACATGGCCATTCTGAACTTTATGCACTGTCCTTTGCCTTTGTTTAATGTCTTTTTTTACTTGACACATTTCTTCTCATCTCAAATGATCATGTTATTTTTACCCTTCCAGATCTAACTCCAGTTCACTACTTTTAATTAAACCTTTCTTTGATAACCAACTCTTGAAAGAAAGAAAGCACTTTCCTTCACTGGAAATGCCAACAGAACTTTAGCTGTTCACATACATGAAACCAGAAGCATAGTGTTAACTCACATTTTAGGGTTCAAACAGCTACGACTTTTAAAGATGCATTATTTTATTTGTATATATATGCGTGAGTATCTG